CCCGCCCCTTTCTTCCTCTCTTAACCTTCCAACTGTGCACACTGCTCCGGAAAGGTTGCTCTCCACGCCTGAAACCCTAACAGGGAGCGGGGGGACAGGTCCGGACGGGGAGCCAAACACCCTGGAAGGGCAGCAGGGGCGCAGCAGTGACAGTCGTGAACGGACCTGAAAGGGAGACAACCCGAACCTATGGTGGGGGCCTGACTGCTGAGTCCCAGTCCTTCCCCTCGGAGTAGCCAACCTCCCCCACCCCCCGCCAGCAAAGGGCAGGGGAAGGGGGGGGACGCTGTCCCGCCTCCAGCCGATGGCCCCAGAGCTGTGAGCCCGTCAGGAACTAGTCCCCAGAGCTGCCAGCCAACTCACCTCAGCCGCGGGCTCCACCTCCGCTCACATTCCGGCCCCGCCGCCTTCCCCCCGCCCCCCCCAGGCCCTTTGTTTTGATTCCCGACTCCGCAGCTCCCGCCGCCGCCGCCAAGCGCACCCTCCACTTCCGCTTCCGCACCGCACCGCCCCTGTCGCAAAACCGACGCCCTTCTCTCCCCCCCTCGCTCCGCCCCTTCCTCCACCCCGCCCCCGCCGCCGCGTCCTCCTCGCGCGGGGCGTGCTGGGAACCCCGGGGGGGGCGGGGCCTCGCGGCCCTGCAGCCTCGTCAGGCTCAGTCCCCTCCCGATAAACCCCTAAATAGGGACCTTTCCTGGGGGAGACCCCGGCTTTTTTGGCGAAAACCCCGAGTTTAAGGAGGCCTTCTCCCTGGCTTATCGTGGTGGAGTGGAAAGGAATCTGAAAGCGAAGAATGAAGGGGCTTGTGAGGTGGAGCCGGGGGAAAAAACCTGCCAACCGGGATTTGATACAATTCAGCTCTTTCAGTCTTTTGAGGGAAGGCGATTTAAACGGGATTTCGATGAAAAACCCGATCGTTTTGCCGCTGTAGCTCGTGCGCGCGCGCGCGCGCTCCCCTCTGTCCCTCTCGTCACGTGTTGGCTCTACTTTATTATTTTTTTAAATTAAATGATGCATAATTTCCACAGCATCCTTAATCTAGTGCAACCTAGTGGCGAGTGGAGAGAAAAATAACCGCCAGCCGGGCTTCCCGCGAGGTCCTTCGGGCCGGCGGGGTTTCTCTCAAGGTGGCGACCCAGCTGGCACAAAACGAAGTGTGAGCTCAGACTCGGCTGGGCACTGTCACCTACTTTTAAGGGATCCTCGTGATTTCAGTTAGCAAACGTCATTTTTTAAAAGCTCTGGTCCAGGGGCACCTGGGTGGCTCAGTTGGTTAAACCGCTGCCTTCAGCTCGGGCCATGATCCCAGGGTCCTGGGATCGAGCCCCACATCGGGCTCCCTGCTCGTGCAGGAAGCCTGCTTCTCCCTCTGCCTGCCGCTCCCCCTGCTTGTGCTCTCTCTCTCGCTCTCTCTCTCTCTCGCTCTCTCTGTGTGTCAAATAAATAAATAAAATCTTTAAAAAAAAAAAATAAAAATAAAAGCTCTGGTCCAGAGCCCGTTGCAAGCGCATGCAAACTTTCCAGGGACAGGGTGGGGAAAGCTCTATGAAGCCTGTGACGGCTTGTGTGTTAGGAGGATGGATGTGACATGGTTGGGGGTTGGGGGGGGTTGAGGGGTTTTTTTTTTCCGGGGAGGGGGTTGGTGCTTCACAATCTTTTACCTGAAGTAATTTTTTTTTTTAAAGCTCAGCACGACCGTCGTTTCTGAAAATGCTAACTGCTCGCTATTTCCTGTTGCCAATGAGAAAAATGAAACATACCTAAATCGAGACTTATTTACGATGGGCTCCTGAATACGACCTAAAAGTTCACTTCTGAAGTTTGCCGAGAAACATTAATTTTGCAGACGAATAAGTAGAAATCGCCAAGAGTTTTTTTTGTTTTGTTTTTTTCCCCTGCCTGAAGTCTGCAGGGTGAGGCAATTTCATTAGGCAGTTTGCGTTAAAAGAAAAACTCCTCTAAAGAGAATTTCAGGGGAAGATGATACATCCCTGTAGACATCCTTGTAGACTCCTGTTGCGGAGGGCAAGATCAAACACGTAGCTGAAGCGCCCTTTGTGCTTGCTTTTCATTGTCCAGAAGGCAGATGACAAGCACACACATCATCTGCCTGCTTAGGTATTTATTACTGCTCAGTAAATCTTCATTGTGTGTGGGGGGGTATTATTTTCCAAGTGGGAATTAGAACAGATGAAAAACAACCCTGTGTCTAGTGTTGTGTTTTTTTTTTTCCCAAAGTACCAAATTATTTTTCTCTTTAAAGGAGTTTTTCTTTTTATGCCAGTTGAGTATCTCTGAACGCACATCGAAGTAACTAAAAAATATAAAAAGGAAACAAAGTAACTGTGGATTTTTTATTGCCTTTTTAAAAAGGTTTTTTGTCATAAAACAATACAGAACAGACACATTTTGTTTGACTTTGCTTGGCATTCTTTCAAGTCCAGAGCTGTGCCTGATCTCAACAGGTTAAATGCAGTAAATAAAGCCGAATCAATTCTACTAAATGGAAAGTTAATGAAAAGTCTGAATTACAAATAATTTTTAATGAAATGAAGTTTTAGTGTTTTCTGTAGAAAACCAGCCTAAGCAGACTACACCAGTCCTTGGAAGTAATTATGAAGTGAAATGCAATTTGATACTTGTGAAAGAGTGCTTTCACATTTTCTTAAGAGATGCTTTCTTAAATATAGTGTCTGCTAATCTTACTCCTATGTCTTTAGTGGGCAAACTTTTATCAGAGAGTAAGAGTAACTTTCAGTTTTTCCCTGTCCAAATTATAATCTTCACATTTATGGAACTAGGATGAAGTTTTATTTTTGTGCTATGTAAGTGGCCATTTTTCATTCAATTCACCTTCTAAATTAACCTAGTTGTCACTAAAGGAGTTTCTCCCCAGCAACTTCTCTTCTGCCTATGTTCAGTTTAGTGTTTTGAAATAATAAATTATAACGGAAGGACGTAAGCAAGAGAAACTGAGCTCTCTGCTAATTCATATCTAAAAGCTACAAGGAAAACACTGAATAAAGGGAGGAAAAGGTTTTAACATGCTCCAAAATCTTCTTTTCGTTCTAGGGTTTTACCCAATAACAAAGCCATTTCCTAAACTATTCCTGAGAACTTTCATGATGATCATTTCAATGTCCTCCCTGTTGTCTTTATGGAAAATGAAGGAAATTGGAAACTAGTTTAAGTGACTTTTAAGTGATCAGTGCCATTTAGGCAGGACTGGCTAACTCATTGATTTGTGCTTCAGTTTATCTGTAAACTGGGATGATTACTCCCTGCCCAGAAATCTCACAGAGTGGTGGGAGTCAAATAAAATTCTTTTTTTTTTTTTTTAAAGATTTTATTTATTTATTTGACAGAGAGAGACAGCGAGAACAGGAACACAAGCAGGGGGAGTGGGAGAGGAAGAAGCAGGCTTGCCGCTGAGCAGGGAGCCCGATGTGGGACTCGATCCCAGGATCCTGGGATCATGACCAGAGCCGAAGGCAGACGACTGAGCCACCCAGGCGCCCTCAAATAAAATTCTGAGGATGAAAGAAAGCATCAGAGGAAAAGTGTTGAGACGAGGGTGTGAATGATTTATTAGTGTTTGTGAGCAGGATGGAAGCTTCCTGAAAGACATTTTGGTACTTAACTCTGTTGATATAGGCAGTGAGTTTCCCTTTTGCGTCTCTGAGCTTCTTTGGCAACTAGGAAGGAGTCAAAAAAGTCATTCTTATGACTTTCTCTCATGACAGAGAAAGGTCATTCTTAACCAAGGCAGGGAGGCAGGAAGGATTCTAAGAGTATGGCCAGAGGCCTCAAAATAGCTAAAAATCTCTTTGCCTCTAGGGTCCTGCTAAAGAATTCGGGTGTAGGAGTCAAACAGACCCAGGTTTGAAGCCTGGTTTGTTATTACTAATTGGGACTCCTTGGGCAATGCATTTAATTTCCTGCACCTTTGTTTTCTCATCTTTTAAAACGAGGACAATAAAAGTGCTTTTCGGTGATTCTCATCATCTGGATCTGAGCTCCACTGTCACCTCCATCGAGCAGCCTTCCCTGATCATCTGAAGTGACCCCTCCCGACCCTTTTCTCTCAAGGGACCTTGTTTATTCTGAAATCATTACTCACAAGCATCTGAAATCATTTTACTCTTTCTGTTTGCTAGTTTAGTGTCTTGCTTTCTTAGTAGCATAAGCCTTTTGAGGACTGGCAGCTTGTCTGACATTTGTTGTGTTATAAGCCTGAGTGCACAATAAATATTTGTTGGTGAACATTTGGGATTGCTGTGAGAATAAGAAAACCCATGTCAAGAAGTTAGCATTGCCTCTGACACACAACCAATGAACAAATCATGATCACTTAAGAATTGCACAGATTGTATTTAACTTTGTGCTAGGCACGGTCCTAAACGTTTTACAGACTCCAAGTCAACTCAGTTTGTCTCCGCATAACCCCAAGGTAGAATCCTATTATGAGCCCCCATCTTATAGATGAGGAAACTAAGTCACAGAGTGTTCAAGTCACTTGCCCAAGATCAACCAGCTTGTAGGAATACAGCTAGAATTCAAAGCCAGGCTCGAAACCAAGCCCTTATACACGAAGTTCGCCGCCTTTGAAGATAATGATGATGACATTTTTATTTTGGGTGTAAAGAACATGGAACATTGCTTAGCCTAAGCGGACCTGGATCTTTGTCCTTCCCTGGATTTGGGGAAAATGCGATCGGTGTCTAGGGGAGGGAGTCGTATTTTCTTGAACAGCGTGGCCCTCACGTCCAAGCCCGTCCCCGGATGTCCAGGGACCCGCCTGCACACTCCGAGGCCTGCCAGGTCCCTGCCGAGCAGCGGGAGCCTCCCAGGCCCCCTCCGGCCCAGTGCCGCCGCGTGGCCACGCCGCGCCCGGGCCCTGGGAAAAAAGTTTCCAAACGGCGCTGCTAGGCGCTGATTGGCCGAGGCCGACGCGGTTCCGTGGCGCCGCAGCCAATGGTCGGCGCCCGCCGCGGGCGCGGGGGTGGGGGCGGTGGTCAGAGGCCCGGGCTGCGCCGTCCGCCGCGGTAGCCGCCCGTCCTCGCGGACAGAGCCGGGGTAAGTGCGGAGCTGCGGTGGCCGGGGCTGGGGGCTGTCCCGGGACCGCCGCCACCACCGGGAAGCTCCTTTGCCCGCCCTGGGGACCGCCAGGAGCCGCCTTGCAGGGACCCTGCCGCGCCCCTCGCTCGCGCGTTCCTTCCCGGCCGCCTGTACTCCGCCGGTCCCGGGCGCTGGGCTCAAAAATCCCGCTCTCTGCAGCCTCCCTTCCTAACTTTGTGCCTTCCCACCCTTGTGTCCTCGCGCCCAGCTCCTCGCCTTTGCCAACTTTCTTTCTCTTCTAGCGCCCTCCGCTTCCTCCCTGACTTCCACGGTCCTTCGTGCCCTCCTCGTCTCCAGCCCCCCGCTGCCTGGCTCCTCTGCCCTCCTGGCTCTCTTGGTCTTTTCTCGCTCTTTTTTTCTGCCTCTTCTCAGCCTCCGCCACCCCCTTGCCTCCTGCTGCCCCAGACTCTCCCTCATTCCTCGTATCTCCTTCCCCCCCGCCCTCGTCCACTGCCCCTTGCCACCTCCACCGTCAGTTCAGGCCTCTTTCCAAAAACCTCCCCCCTGCTTGGCATCTCCGTGCCTTCGGGAACGTGTTTGGAACAGTCTCCTTCCCTCTGCTTTTTTCAGATCTCTGCTGCAGGAAGGTTCAGATTTCCCCTGATAGCACTCTGGGGAAGGATAGGATAAAGGACGAAAACGCTTATTCTACAGTTTGAATGCAGTGCTGGGACTTACCTGCCTCCCCGAGGTCGTGGGAAATCCCGCCATCATCTTGACACGGCTTTTTGGGAAGCTACCTTATCTTCTCCAGTCATCTCAGGTTCTCCGCCTCCTGAGGGCCTGAGCTTCCCGGATTTCTTTGTCCAGGGTTGGTACCAGGTTGTGCCTCTTTCTACTTTCAGCCTCGAGGTCCCTTTTAACTTCCTTTCTAAAGAAACGGCCTTTACAGGGTGCACTGAGCAGAGATTTGTCATTTTCTATGCTAGTTTGGTTTCTGTATTCTTGGGTAGGATGGCATTTTAGGACACACATAGGGTGCTTTGAAGAGCATTTGGATCCCAGTGACTGACTCCCAGAGCCACTTACCTGACCCCACCACTACACTGGTATTTAACCAGGTTTGAAACTTAAATCTTTACTCGCACTGTGTCTTTTGTGTAGGATTAGATGCTTTAAGTCTCAGGGGCGTCCAATTGGCATATTTTATCCTCTCATTTTGGATAATAGTTTCTTAACTTGGCTTATTCTGTTAGGATGTTATTTTTGTTTCCAAAGTGTGTTCTTTTGCCTTAGTACTTGTGAGCCCACAGAGATTACACTCCCTTTCCTTACCAGATAATTTCCTAACATGAGTGGGCCTGCATACAGAAAGTTTGTGTCAGCAGCTAGGACTGTTTTTGCACCTAGTACTGATGTAGGTGCTTTCTGTCTGCCTCTCCCAGCACTGCTTTAGCCCTTAGAAGGTGTTTGGAAATGTTCGAGAAGGGTTGGAGGAGAGGGAAATCACAGAAGGAAAAAAATCTTTGCCTAGCATCTTTTTTTTTTTTTTTTTAAGATTTTATTTATTTATTTGACACAAAGAGCACAAGCAGGGAGAGTGGCAGGCTGAGGCCGAGGGAGAAGCAGGCTCACCGCTGAGCAGGGAGCCTGATACTGGGCTTGATTCCAGGATTCTGGGATCATGACCTGAGCCTGAGGCAGACGCTTAAACTGACTGAGCCACCCAGGGGCCTGAGAGATACCTTTATAAACGAAATTGGCACCCTTTCTTAACATATCATGAACTTTCTTCTATATTAGTTCATATACTTCTTAACAACTGTGTAATTTTCCAAATCAGTCCTCTGTTGACAGTTAAGTTTCTACAGTTTTCCACATCAGTGAATGATGGCATACACCCTTGAGTATATGTCCTTGCATGCCTATCTAAGTATTTTTGTAGGAAGATCATCACAGATTTTGAAAGCACAGAGACAGAAGCCAGACTTGCTGACTCTTGACTGGTTTTGCCCCAGTGATGCCACTTCTGCAAAATGCGGAGCCTGCATCATAACCTAGAAGCTGTTGAAGCACGTGCAGACATTTGGCCGTGTCTTTCTTTCCCCTCCCTTTCCCTTCAGCTCTTCCCTTTGTTTTGATTGGGAAGGATTGAGGTTGGCGTGGAGAAGGGTGGTGAGTTAATTCTTGATAGTTTATACGTGTGTACTGCTCCTGACCAGCTATGCTGGTTTCTTCACTCAGAGGAAAGCCAAAGGAGAGCGCTTTGTTTTCTCTAGGGTTTTGAAATCAAAGGTGGGGTGGGAGATCTAAGTCATGCAAAATAGAGAATACATACTTTTTGAACTTTGTGCTCCCAGCTTGTGCTCCCTTGCCTGCTGTAGCATATACTTTTGAGGTGCCCATTAGGTTTGTCCACAGAGCTCCTGGGGTGCGAGAGCAGAAGCACAGAGGCAGAATGCCTATAACACTTGTAGCACAAATGAAAGGCATGCAGTGCCCATTTTTAAGATCGTGGGTACAGAGTTGTATATACCGAGACCCGTGCCTGTCACAGTGCGTTTGGAAAGACTGGGGGCCAGATGAAATGCGTGAATCTGACCTCTGAACAGTCTCTTTGCAACCCCAAGGAGACCATGAACTTGAATTCAAAGACCCTCCAGTCACTCCCTCCCCGCAACTTGCACTTGGGTCTGATTTGCCTCTGCTGTCCACTTGCACCTCTGGAGATGGCCAAGGCGTGCAGTGTTTCTGCTCCAGCTTCTGCTTCTAAGAACCCAAGTGATGTCTTGCTTACTCTTAATAGCCGAATGGCTTAAAGGGGATAAAACTGAAGATAAGTTATTAAACACCCAGCACGCGGTGGTTCAGTTCAATAGGGAGAGGGAGTCTTTCTTTCCGAGTCATCTTACCTGCTTTCTGTGGCAAAGAATAATGCACATTGGAACTGTGAGACGTTTTCAGATGGCAAAGGAAAAAGCGTACATTTTTAAGATTGTTGTTTCAGAACAAAGTGAAGTTCGGCTGTTGCTTCTTCTTAGTCTATAATATATTTTTTCCTCTTCCCTAAGGATTGTTTTTAAAATGCAGGGGGGTTTTGGGTTGAAATGCCAGGCCTGTGGTTTTTTCTCTTTAGTTGAAGGAGCTACAAATGGTGCAGGCGTGACAGGAGCTCAGGTCTCTGCTTAGCGTCTTTCCACCACCACCACCACCATCACCCCTACACCCTGGCCCTGAAGTCCAAAACCAGAACCTTCCCATCAACGCGGTTGTAATTAGAGCCTCTCGCGCAATGGAAGTGCCTCCTAAAACATCTCAAATTCGTTTCTTTCCTGAGGATTTTTAGTCTTCACTGGCCATAAGTGTTTTATTTAGGAAGCTTTTTTTTTTTTCCAAAACTCAGCTGTCATAAGAATGAGGGTGAACATTAAACCCCAAGAACAGTATCAGATGCTTCTTATCATGTACACCTGGAGAAGGGTTAGTTTCCAACAAGGTATTCTCTCCTGCCACTTTCCACTAATGAGATGCCACTCAGGTGCTGAGGGAGTGTGGGGTTTTCCCCATCCTGCCAAGCCTCTTAGGGATGTACAGGTGTCAACCATAAACTAGTCTTCAGAGGTTTATGGCTTCTTGCTTTTCCTTAACCTCACATCCCCTTCCTACTAGTGGTCCATCTCTCTCTTTCCCTTTGCTCATTCATTCCACAAGCATATATTTAGTGCCTGTTATATGCCAGGCACTGTTCTAGGCATTGGGATAAAAAAGCAAGATGGAGGAGGCCCCTGTGCTCAACAACTGACATTCCAGTGGGGGAAGATTAAAAACAAAACTCAAAATGATGAAATAAAGCAGAGGTTAATAAATAGTGAAGGGCTAGAGAGGATATTTGGTGGTGTATTCAAATAAGGTCTCTCTGGGGAAGACATTTCAGCTGAGATCTGAATGACAAGGAGGATACCTAGGCAGAGAACAGCAAGTGCAAAGGCCCTGAGGTGGGGAGTAAGTGTGTTGTGCTTAAGGAACGGAAAGAAGGGGGCGCCTGGGTGGCTCAGTCGTTAAGCGTCTGCCTTCGGCTCAGGTCATGATCCCAGGGTCCTCGGATCGAGCCCCGCATCAGGCTCCCTGCTCCGCGGGAAGCCTGCTTCTCTCTCTCCCACTCCCCCTGCTTGTGTTCCCTCTCTTGCTGTGTCTCTCTCTGTCGAATAAATAAATAAAATCTTAAAAAAAAAAACGGAAAGAAGGCCGTGTGCCTCGAACATAAGCTAATGCCTGGGGGCGGGTGGGTAGGGTTGGGGAATGTTTAGAGAAGTAGGCAGGAACTAATTACATTGAATATTAGATATGATATTTTCCCAAACAGCAGGAAAAACCAGTATACATCCATTGTTCCTAGTTCCTAACTGTTTCGCCCTACTACACAGACTCTTGTGCCATGCAGTTGAGACTATCCTCAATAAGATAACGGTCACACAGCACTCAGTTGCACGGGCTCTTGACACTATAGGGACTGGTTTGGTGACTTCATATCAGATGAGTTCTGGGCTCATTAGAGCTTAAGACTTGAGCAGGGAGTACCGCATCTAAGTTTACCCTTACCCATTGCCATGTTAATTGATGTTATTTACACTCTAGGTGCTCTAATTCTTTTTACTTTCAGCAAACAACATCTTTCACTACTTACCTTAATTAGGACCCTCTGTGGCAGCCATCCAACCCTAACTGGTATAGTCAAGAAAGGGAGTTGGTTATCTCTCATAACCTTAAATCAGGTATGACTGGATCCAGGTGTTCAAATGAGATCATCAGGACCCAGCGTCTCCACCTCTTGGCTCTGCTTTCCTTTGTTTGGGCTTCATTCTCTGGCAGACGCCTCCCTTGTGATGGAAGGATGATCACTGGCAGCTCCTTGCTTACCTCCTACCATCTTACCCTAGTGGGAAGAATTTTTTTCTTTCTTTTTTCTCCTAGCTTTATGGAGATATAATTGACATAGAACATTGTGTAAGTTTAAGGTATATAACATGATGGTTTGATAAACGAATATATTGTGAAACCATTACCACAATAAGGTTAGTTAACACTTCCAGAGTGTCTTTCTTGATCGCTCTGCAAAAGCCCTTGACACTGATTTGCTCAGCTTGGGTTAGGGCCACCCCTGAACCAATCATTGGTCTAGTTTGGGTTAGACCCATCCTGTTATTGGCTCAGCTTGGGTTCGGCCCTCCTCTGAGCCAGTTACTGATGCTGGAGGCATCCCTCCCGTATTGTGCCCCCTAGATGCTGATGTCAAGTACATCTGAATCACATGGAATGAATGTAGGGTTAGTTTCCCCAAGATTAGAGTGGTGTTACAGAAAGCTGGAAGAAGAAATGCTGGACTGGAGAAAGATCAACAAATGAACAGCTTTCTACTTTTTGCAGCTTCTGTGCTTCCATTCAGCTTTCAGAGAAACTGTTCCCCAGAAGGGGATGGGTGGGGCACATTGCATGTTGTCTCTGAATGAGGGAAGGGAGAAAAATTAGGAAAGAGAAGATGTGAGTACAGATACTAACAAATCTAGTTATCAATAAGGGCTGTGCTTGAATATAATTGTTTGATTTTTTTTTTTAACCAGGGATCCAGAAGTTGCTGATTGTGTCCATGTTAACACTAACATATTTAGCTGAATGATTAATATTTGTAGTAAAAAATATAGCTTGTTATGGTGGCTCAGTCAAGTGTCTGACTCTTGATTTTGGCTCAGGTTGTGATCTCAGGGTCGTGAGATCGAGCCCTGTGCTCTGAACTGGAGCCTGCTTAAGATGCTCTCCCTCTGTTCACCCCCCCTCCCAGCTCGCTCGCTCGCTCTCTCTCTCTCTCTCTCTCAAAAAAACAAACCAAACAAAACAAAACAGGTTGTTATGCCTTGCAAAGTGAGGAGTTGTGTTCATTCTTTTGTCCCTGAGGACATCCGATTGTGAGCTCCCTTGAGGGAAGGAAGGGACTTTGGAGACATCTCATTTGGATTCCTGATGAACTTTTGACAAGCTCAGAGCCTTAAATAAGGCTCTGTCAGCCGGAGTCTGTAAATGGCCCGCTGTTCATAGAGATCCCTTCCCCAGCTTCTGCTCTGGATCTCTCCAAGTCCTCAGAGCCAAGGCCCCATTCCCACCCCCTACCCTGTAGCTACTGTCCTGTTTGTCTGCTTCTCACACCCAGCTCTCCAGAATTTCCTCTACTTCCTCTTCTTTACCTCCTCGTAACTCCTCTGCCCAATTTCCGCCCCTCCCCCCCGCACTGTGTTGAAACTGTTCTTGCTCACATCACCAGTGACCGACATTCCGCGAGGTCTCCTGGGTATTTTCCAGTCCTTCTCTTAGTTTCTCTGTTGTGTCGTGGATACTGTGGACCGGTCGTTTTCCCTTGACACCATCTATCTACTGCCCGGACAGCTCACTGTCTGGTTCTCGTCTCTTCATTTGTCCCCTGTCTCCTTAGATTACTGTTTCTTTCTTTGCCTACCAGTCAAACACTGGCATTCCTCAGCGTTCCATAAATAGCACTCACTAGATTCTCCAGCAGTTCCGTCACGAGAAAGAGGGAAGAAGCAGCTACAGGCTCAGGACTCTTAAATTTGTGTCAGGCCAGAGTTCACCCCAGAGTTTCAGATCTGCTGTTGCTTCTGGACGTGTCACTGGCATGTCAAACTAGAAATATCCCAAACTCGGCTCATTATCCTCTCGCCCTAAAGTCTTTCCTTCTGTTCTTCATCTCTGGTGATGGGGATGGTGGTGGCACCTGTTGCTGAAACCAGAACCCCAGAGATGTCCTCCCCTCCTTTTTTTTTTTTCCTTGCGCCCCCCCACCCCCATGAAATGAATAAAATCTTGGTAGTTTTATCTATTCATGGAATGTAACGTGGGTGGGCTGTATTTTGTCTGAGTTTGGTTTCAGTTTTTGGCAATGTTTTATCATTTAATCCAACATAAAATTCAGGAGCTTCCTCTCCCCCCCCCCCACCACATTAAAAATAAGCTCTTTAACCAGACATGGACAGTAATTATAAAGCTTTCTCTCCTAGACACCATGCCACAAGAAGAGTGACCTCTTGCTCTGTTTTCACCATGGAGGACTCGGGAAAGACTTTCAGCTCTGAGGAAGAAGAAGCTAACTACTGGAAAGATCTGGCTATGACTTACAAGCAGAGGTCAGTCTTCCCGAGTCCACCCTGCTTTTTCTTCCCATCCTGGTGGCAGCTACCATTCAGTGTGGGGCTTCTGAGGCGACAAGCATTACAAAGGACTTGACACACATTCTGTCCGTTACATCTCAAAACTGCCTCATGAGGAAATAGTTATCACCCCATTTTACAAATGAGGAACTGAGCCTCAGGGAAGGCAAATAACTTGCCCGCCGAGGTCACACCAGCCAGTAAGCAGCTGGGCTAGAATGTGAGCATCAAAGCCTCTAGTCCTGAGCAAACTGCTGTGCTCTTTCCCATCTTATTTTCTGGAAGGGTTTTATCAGTTGGGGATGCCATATCTGGTCAGTCCCCGTGCCTGACAGTATGGGTTTTTGCAGATTTTAAATGTGGAACCAGCGGTTCAGTGTCCATATCTGGGAGTAGTGTGTGTGTGTGTATGTGTGTGTGTTCAGCATTGCTTTTTATTTCTCATGGACTCATATTCTCCACCTGGAGGTCTTATTCCGTTCCTTCTAATTTTCTTATTCTTAATTTGACTATAAGATAACTCAGGTTTAGTATTAAAAAAAAAAAAGCGTTGCTTACTTTTAAGGATCGAGGACCTGGAACTGGGTGTCTGGGGTTGACCAGGCGCACATTGTAGTGGTGGAGTGAGCAAACATTTATATTAGATCCAATTCCTGCTTACAAGTAAATCTGCAGAGGGTACGCAATCCCAAGGATATTTACTCCACGTTGAGTCCAAAAACCAAATACGTTGAATGAATGAGCAGGGAGTGAATTGGTAGAGAAATAGCTTCGGAGTCAGGCAGATGTGGGTTGAGGTCTGAGCTCTGCTGCTGACTCACATGACATTGAGACAAGTCACATCTTCTTTCAGCCTTACCTGTAAAATGAGGGTAAGCCTAGTTTCTGCCTCAAAAGGTGGTTGACAAACAAGCTAATCCATGCATCACCCTCCACAGCATGGCTAGGTGCTCAGTAAATGGTTGCCTAATGGCGTCTGGGACTTCTGTAGGGCAGAGAACACGCAAGAGGAGCTCCGAGAATTCCAGGAGGGAAGCCGCGAATATGAAGCTGAGTTGGAGACGCAGCTGCAACAGATTGAAACCAGGAACAGGGACCTCCTGTCGGAAAATAACCGCCTTCGCATGGAGCTGGAAACCATCAAGGTGAGAGGACATGGACAGCACGCCCAGACAGGCTTCTGGCGTGGCATGTGTGTGCCTGGGAAAGCGAGCCCGGCTGTGCGAGGGGGCCCCTGGCCAGCCCTGGGCATGCTCCCTCCTCCCTCAAGACCTGCTGGGTGGAAGTGGTGTTGGAAATCTTTTTTGCCCCCATTGGGAGGAGCTCTGTGAGAAGCAAGTCACACATGTGTCCCCACGGTCATTCCTGGCTGGCTGTCACAACCCCACCAGGCATGTGAAAGGTAGACATTTTTGGAGTATGGAGTGTCACTGGATTTGCTGATCATTAGATTATACAAAGTCCAGAGTTACGCTGCCCAGTGAATTGACAGTTAAGTTCATTAAAATAAAATAAAAACGTAATTCCTTCCTTCTGCTAGCTACATTTCACCTGGTCAGCAGCCCCACATCTCTAGTGGGTATCGTTATTGGACAGAGAGGTGGAGAATATTTCCATCATTACAGAAGGTTCTGTTAGATAGTGCCGGTCTAGAGCAGGTTCCTCAACCTGAACACTGTGGACCTTTGAGGTCCGGTAACTTTCTGCAGTGAGGGCTGAGTTTTGCATTGTAGGGTGTTGAACAGCATTGCTGGTCTCCACCCACTGGATGCCAGGGGCACCCTCTCCCCCCAAGATTTATGAGTACCAGAAATACCTGTCGACATTGCCAAGTATCAGGAGCACCACCGGTCCAAAGGGTAAAGACTGCCTTTTGGACATTCTGTAGGGCTTAGCAGATAAGCACTCGCCCGTGCCCTGTAGACTGCGTCTCTCAGCCCTCACAGCCAGGCAGGCTTGAACCCACCCTCGCCCTGAGATTCCTGATCTGAGTAAGTCTGGGGTGGGGGGGACCTAGGCATGTCTGCATGTCTTTTCCTTTTTAAGCTTTACTTACTTATTTTAGAGAGAGTGCGCAGTGGGGAGGGGCAGAGGGAGAGAGAGAGAATCCTGAAGCAGACTCCCTGCTGAGTGCAGAGCCCAAGATCATGACCTGAACTGAAATCAAGAGTCAGCTGCTTAGCTGACTGAGCCACCCAGTTGCCTCTTCATTTTTAAAAATAAAGCTCCCCATGTAAATTTTGATGAGCTGCTGGGGGGAAAGAACCAAGGGCGAGGTATGGTGGATACTGGAAGGGGATGTGCTCCTAGAGCTCTGGAAGCTTTGTGAAGGAAACAAACCTAACCCCAAAAGCACTTAAGGAAAAAGATGCTCAGTTACGGAGTAGTGATCGAGAGATCCTTCTGAGAGAAGGGTCTGCAGGAGCTGGAGACGGCTTCCCAGGGGAGCTGGGAGGGATTTGAGCTGATTTTTGAAGGTGAAGGGAGTGTGTATGCACTTACGTGTGTGCATGTGCACACGTAGCCAGCAGGTTGGGGCTTAGGGGTTAATGAATAGTTAATCTGGACCTTCCATAGACACAGACGAGAATGGATGTCGAGCAGACTCGAGAATCCTGGCTTTAGTATTGCATAGGAAAAAGTGGGACCCACAAATGGATTGGGGATTGAGGGATGGGGAGGGGCAGAGGAAAGATCCCCAAAGACCTCAGAAGCTGAGCAGTGGAGTGTAAGCTTTCATGTTGTAGACCGCAAAGCCCACACTGGACGTCTACAGATCCGTCTGGCCCACTGATGTTTTTTGCTTAGTCTTCCCTGGTTTTTATTCAACATTTTATCGTGACAGTTTTTAAGCACGCGGCAAGGTTGAAAGAATTTTCCAGTGACCACCTGTATATCCACCATCTAGGCTCTACTGATAACCTTTGCCATACTTGATTTTTTTTTTTGCCATACTTTTTTTTTGATTACATATCTATCCATCCATCAGTCTAGCTTTCTGATGCATTTCAAAGTGACTTGCAGACATCTATACACTTCCCTGTAAATACTGCAGTGTGCTGTTATTAACTAGAGGGTTTGTTTACAGTTCATTCTTTTGATAGTAAAACTTATTTATTTATTTATTTTAAAGATTTTATTTATTTGAGAGAGGGGGAATGAGAGACAGAGAGCATGAGAGGGAAGAGGGTCAGAGGGAGAAGCAGACTCCCTGCCGAGCGGGGAGCCCGATGCGGGACTCGATCCCAGGACTCCAGGATCATGACCTGAGCCGAAGGCAGTCGCTTAACCAGCTGAGCCACCCAGGCGCCCTGATAGTAAAATTTATATCTTTAGTGTTTTTTTAAAGATTTTATTTATTCAGAGAGAGTTCACGTGTGAGTGGGGAGAGGGAGAGAGAATCTCAAGCCGACTTCACCCCGAGTACAGAACCCCACATGGGGCTCGATCTCATGACCCTGAGATCATGGCCTGAGCCAAAAGCAAGAGTTGGATGCTTAACCAGCCAAGCCACCCAGGCGCCCCTGGCGTTTTAAGTATTTAATATCAGCATTCAAAGTTGTGAGGCTTCGTATACAAGTCTGGGTTTCTGACTTCCTTTGAGAATCGGCATGCCAGGCCTGCGTTCTTCCACGCCAGTGAAACTCTAGGCGGCGGTTACTGAGACCGAGCAAGCGTTCACCAGCCCATCCCAGTCCCCATTACTGTCCCCCACCTCCATCCCTGACACTGAGGGATAAGTGTCCTTTGCTTTATCCCTACACCTGGTCCATGCCACTAATTTTGTGGGCAGCCCGACCCCTGCCCCTGGCGCTGAGGAATCGTGGTGCTTAACTTGAAGGGGACTCGGACGGAACACTGTGGAAGGGCGGTGGGCGGTGTGAGCCGTAGTCCAGAGAGGGACCAGGCCCTCTGTGGAGGCCGACTCCTGTCGAGCAATTATGAAGTAATTAACTGTTTCAAGACCGAGCCTTTGAACTTGCAGAAGACCTCTTCGTGACAACCACCTGACAGATGCCTGAGGTGCAGAGCGTAAAGCAGAAGAAGTAGAAATGCCTGGGTAAACAGAACTGCCACCGGGGCACCCGGCTGGCTCCGTTATTGGAGCATGTGACTCGGGGTCTCAGGGTCATGAGTTCGAGCCCCACGCTGGGGTACAGATTACTTTAAAAAAAAAAAAAAAACTGCCACCAGCAAGTATCTGTCAGTGACCCCAGAGAAATGTTTTCAACTGAGTCAGACTTCTTGACAACTGGCTTATTCACCACAAGTTGAATAAGAAGGCCTGTAGGCCTATAAGGGATCAAACAGAGAGTCTGTTGATGCCTTCATCAGCTGACAGCTTATTATAATTAGCCCCAAATGAAAGCACAATATTTAGCAACGGCTTTTCATGTCCACGAGTTCAAAGGACATCCTTTGCATCTTTATGCTGGTGGAGAAGCCCATTAACGGCATCGTCTTAGAAACTGGGTTTGAATTGAGGTTAATGACGTTGGATCCTTTGCGCTCCTGTTTTGTTTGGAGATGCACCCGGATAAAGGGGGTGAGGCTGTCAGAGCCAGCCCTGGGAATTGGCCCTTGCGTGGGGCTTGGTCGGCCCCTCCTTGGCTGAGGGGAGTTGCTTCCTCTGCTCATGGCCAGGAAACAGAGTATCAGAGGGGATGGAGCAGCCTGAGGATGTGCAATGCCCTCCCTGTCCCCACCCCGTAAAGGATCTGCTTGTTCTGTGGAAGCTCTTCTCACGCTGCTCTCACCACACCTCTCTGGCCCAAGTACCATTATGTCATTCTCCTCGTGCATCCCGACTTTTCTAGCAACGCCTTTGTTTACTTGACTGAGGAAAGAAGAGTGTGTCTGTTTTTCAAGTTTCCTTTTTCTTTTTTTTTTTTTAAGGTTTTATTTATTATTTGATAGAGTACAAGTAGGCAGAGCAGCAGGCAGAGGGAGAGGGAGAAGCAGGCTTCCCACTGAGCAGGGAGCCGGACGTGAGGCTCGATCCCAGGACTGGAATCATGACCTGAGCCGAAGGCAGCCGCTTAACCGACTGAGCCCCCACAGGCACCCTGTTTTTTTTGTTTTGTTTTGTTTTTTAAGATTTTATTTTTAAAGTAATCTCCACACCCAATGTGGGCCTTGAACTTACAACCCTGAGACGAAAAGTCATGTGCTCTACCAACTGAGCCAGCCAGGCACCCCTCAAACTTTCTAATTAGACTTTGGGCCTTTCCTGTGGGACGTGTTTTCGTGTGTAGATGAAGGGAAAGCAGTAAGGGTGTTTGGTGAAGGAAGGTGATTTGAAAGAGCAGTCAAAGCAGAACGTATGTGTGCGTGTGCATGTGTGGTCGATACCTCTGTGGCCCGGAAGGAAACGTTTGAGGGCAGTTAAGCATAGTTGTTTAATGAGCACAAGCCCCAGGGGCTCACATTGGATCTTGGCTCAGTCATTTGCTACCAGTTGACTTTGGGCTAATGAAGTAGCCCCAGTTCATGTCTCTGAAGTAGCATTAAATGAGCCAATGTAAGAACTATCTTGAGCCAAGAAGCTGGCCCAGAGTAAGCATGTGATGAATGTTAGCTGCTGACATTGCGCAGCAACAGATCATGAAGTCATTTGACTAGTTCTTGCCTTGGAAAGCACTAGTCACATCACACTAAGCTCTTTTGATAATTAATAACAGGTTGTGGGGCTTTCTTTATTTCCTTCCTTCCCTCCCTCCCTCCCTCCCTCCCTCCCTCCTTCCCTCCCTCCCTCCCCCCTTCCCCCTTCCCCCCTTCCCCCAAAGGTCCAAAAGTCCTCTCTAACTCCCCCATGCTACAAGGGTGTGTCCTGGATCACAAAGTTAGAACAGTTGTCAGACTAAGTACATGGTTTCCTGCTCTTACGGTGAGGCACAAGCAACCAAAGTTACTGTGATTCCTGATACGCAATCCAGGGATGTCACATGAGGTGGATTGGTGTTGCCCTTGTTTGTGGATGAGGCTTGGGGAGGTTTATATGGCTTTCCATGGCTGTGGACACCTTGAGCAAAATAATTCCTTTTGAAGATTGTTGGGGGTCTTGACCCTTAGGGGCTGCAGGGACCAAGTTCAGGAGGGGGCGGGCTGCAAGATGCTTGTGGGCCAAGAGGTGGGAAGTACTTGGGACATAACTTTGAATGGTGGCCCCCATTCTCGCTCTGCCCTCACTTGCTTCAGAGTCCATATCTGTGGAGAGAAGGTTCTACTGGCTGAGGTTAGGCTTGTGGCCTGGCTGTGGTGGGAGGCTACGAGAATGTCTGGAGCCTCCTTAGTGTGATGTGAAGACCGGTCCCATAAAGATCCTATGATATGGGAGAGCTAAGTCCCCTAAAGAAATCACGGTGCTGCCGAGCTGTGCACACGGGGAGGATCGGACACTCACAAGCTAAAAGCAGTAGTGTCCACTCCAACAGGAGAGCATATGTTCCAGGAATCCCTCAGTATTTTAAGGAGATGACAGGGAAGGGAGATAAACACAGCTTATCAGAAGGTTAAATCACACACTCAGTGTCAGTTTTCTCCTCCAGGAGAAGTTTGAAACGCAGCACTCAGAAGGCTACCGGCAGATCTCAGCCTTGGAGGATGACCTTGCCCAGACCAAAGCAATTAAGGATCAACTTCAGAAATACATCAGAGAGCTAGAGCAAGCCAATGATGACTTGGAAAGAGCAAAACGGTACGTCGGGAAGGAGAGAACAGGTTTTGGAATGCATTCATTTGGCCATTGGCAGGGAATGCATTTGGCCAAGGCAGGACTCCCAGTGGAAGCAGCATTTGGGCTAAGACCCGGGGATGCAGAGACATCATCCAGGGAAGGGTATGAGGTGAGAAGATGCCAGGCAGAAGGACGAGCATGTGCTAAATACCGCCCTGAGGTAAGCATGTCCAAAGAACAGGATTTCATTCCTTCTTTTTTTTTTGGTTTTTTTTTTTTTGGATTTTTTTTATTTTTTTTTTGAGAGAGAGTGAGCACGAGCTGGGGAGAGGGACAGAGGCAAAGGGAGAAGCAGACTCCCTGCTGAGCAGGAAGCCCAACATGGGGCTTGATCTCAGGACCGTGGGTTATGACCTGAGCCAAAGGCAGGTGCTTAACCGACTGAGCCACCCAGGCGCCCCAAGAGCAGGATTTCTTAAACTGACGTTCTGTTGTTTAGCAGAATACTAACAATCATAACTAACATTTATTGAATCACTACTCTGTGCCAGGCTCCCTTTTTTCTTTAATGAAAACACTTTAAAAATTAGATATAAATTGCTTATAGTGGCACGCACAGATTTTAAGCATACAGTTCCATCATTTTGGGCAAATTGCATATACGTTCACGGGACCCATGCTCTTGTTAAGATATGGGACCTTTGTGTTGCCCCCATAGTCTCCTGCATGATTTTTTTTTTTTTTTAAAGATTTTATTTATTTAATTGACAGAGAGAGACAGCAAGAGAGGGAACACAAGCCGGGGAAGTGGGAGAGGGAGAAGCAGGCTTCCCGCGGAACGGGGAGCTCGATGCGGGGCTCGATCCCAGGACCCCGGGATCACGACCTGAGCCGAAGGCAGTCGCCCAACCAACTGAGCCACCCAGGCGCCCCTCCTGCATTATTGTTAATAATATTATTTTTACTAGTTTAAGTAGGTTCCACACCTGGCGTGGAGCCCAGTGTAGGACTTAAAATCAAAACCCTGAGATCAAGACCTGAGCTGGTATCAAAAGTCACACGCCCAGTTGACTGAGCCGCCCAGTTGACTGACCCACCCAGGTGCCCCGTCCCCTGCATTATTTTTTACTGGTTGCTTTAGGATCACAACACTTCATTGTACCACTGCATGTGAAGTGCAACAGCCTTGGAATCTTATAGTTTCATTTTTATCATCCTTGAACTTTATGCTATACTCCTAATACTATTATGTCTACAAATGCTGTGGTTTCCACAATACATTGCTATAATTTTTGCTTTAAAAAGCCAAGTATAGGGTGCCTGGGTGGCTCAGTTGGTTAGGTGACTGCCTTTGGCTCAGGTCATGATCCTGGAGTCCCAGGATCAACTCCCAGATTGGGCTCCCTGCTCAGCGCGAAGTCTGCTTCTCCCTCTGACCCTCCTCCGTCTCGTGCTCTCTCTCTCTCTCTCTCTCATTCTCGTTCTCAAATAAATTAATAAAAATCTTTCAAAATAAATAAATAGGGGCACCTGGGTGGCTCAGTCATATAAGCACCTGCCTTTAGCTCAGGTCATGATCGCAGGGTCCTGGGATCGAGCCCCACATCGGGCTCCCTGCTCGGCGGGAAGCCTGCTTCTCCCTCTCCCACTCCCCCTGCTTGTGTTCCCTCTCTCACTGTGTCTCTCTCTGTCAAATAAATAAATAAAATCTTTTAAAAAATAAATAAATAAAAGCCAGGTATATTTTAAAGAAATTAAGAGAGTTAAAAAGATAAGCTTTTATATTTACCCACATATGGACTATTTCTGGTTCATTCCTTCCTGAGGACCAGGGTTTCCCTCTGGTACCCTCTCCCTTCAGCTTGAAGAACTTCCTTTAGGAATTCTTATAGGACAGGTCTGTTCACAGTGAAGTCTCCTTGTTTTAGTTTATCTGAAAGTGTCTTTTGCCTTCATTCTTGAAAGATATGTCCACTGGATGTAGGATTCTGGGTTGACAGTTGTTTTTTTGTTTTGTTTTCTTTCAGGGGATTGTTCCACTGTCTTCTGATTTTCTTGGTTCAGGTCAGAAGTTAGTGGTCATTTGAATGGTTACTTCCCAGTATGTAATATTTTTTTTTCTGGCTGCTCTCAGATTTTCTCTTGACTTTTTGTTTGTAGCAGTCTATGATGTGGCTAGATTTTATATATACTTAACTTTTTTTTTTTAATTGTTGGATTTAACCAGAATTGATTTTTTCATTTCATTAAATAATCTCTCTACCCAATGTGGGGCTCGAACTCATGATCCTGAGATCGGGAGTCAGCTGCTCTACTGACTGAGCGAGCCCCTGTATGTATTTATCTTTTTTTTTTTTTTTTTTTCAAAGATTTTATTTATTTGAGAGAGAGAGAATGAGAGATAGAGAGCACGAGAGAGAAGAGGGTCAGAGGGAGAAGCAGGCTCCCTGCCGAGCAGGGAGCCCGATGCGGGACTCGATCCCAGGACTTCAGGATCACGACCTGAGCCGAAGGCAGTCGCTTAACCAACTGAGCCACCCAGGCGTCCCTGTATTTATCTTGATAGGGGTTTGCTGGGCTTCTTTAGTCTGTAAATTTCTCTTTTTGCCAAATTTAACTTTGGTCATTATTTCTCAGAGGTTTGTGCTGCCCCATTTTCTCTCTCCTGTCCTTCTGGGACACCAACTACACACACATTAAGTCCTTTTGATATTGTCACACAGCCTCTTTTTTTTTTTTTTTTTTTTTTTTTTTTTTTACCCCCAATCTTTTTTTCTTTTGGTTCTTCAAATTGGTTAATTTCTATTGATCTGATTCAGGTTCACTGACTCCTCTCCAATCGGCTGATAAACGAATTCCAGTAGTGTCTTTAGAGATTGTATTTTCAGTTCTAGAATTTCCTTTAAAAAAAAAAAAGATTTATTTGACAGAGGGGGGAGCACAAGAAGGGCGAGGAACAGAGGAAGAGAGAGAAGCAGGGTCTCTGCTGAGCAGGGAGCCTGATGCGGGGCTCTATCTCAGGATAGAGCCATGACCTGAGCCAAAGGCAGGTGCTTAGCCGACTGAGCCACCCAGGCACCCCCCCCCTTTTTTTTTGAATTTCCTTTTTTTTTTTTAAAAAAGATTTATTTATTAGAGCGCATGAACAGAGAGAGAGAATACCAAGCAGACTCTCCGCTGAGCGCAGAGCCCAACATGGGGCTCGATCTCACAACCCTGAGATCATGACCTGAGTCGAGATCAAGAGTTGGACGCTTAACAGACTGAGCTCCTCTCTTTATATCCTTCAGTAGCTACTTTAAAGTCCTTTTCTTTTCTGCTAATTCTAACATCTAGGTTATCTTAGGGCCATTTCCAAGGATTGCCTTTTCTCCTGAGTTTGGGCACATTTTTTGTGCTCTTCATGTGTCATGTTGAGTAATCTTGAATTCTGGACATTATGAATGATGTGTGGCAGAAACTATGGATTTTGGTTTTGATTTTTTTTTTTTTTCTGGTCTGTTAACTAGGACGAACTAACACTCCAAACTGTTTCCGCTTCACGGGCAGTAGCTGAAATCTGTTTGATTCTTTTAGCCTTAACCAGGTTGCTTCAAGTCTGCTGAGCATTTGCATGGTCTAGAGGTTAGCCAGAGATGTGGGAAGAGTTTAGATGAGAATTTGGCACTAGTGATGGACTTCTGTCATGGAGCTGTAGGCAAAACATTAACAGAGATGCAACATTCACCCACTGCTGTTTCTTTCTTCCAAGTGGTGGCTGCTGTTATTGCCTTCAGACCATTGTTGTTTGACCCAGAGTTTGTAGTTGTAATCTACAACTACATGAGAGCTTTGGTCTGATACAAGCCACCTTATCATTATCAAAAGTGGGATCTCAGAGCTCTTTGTATATTTTTCCATTAATCTTTTATCCTACGTGGAAAATATTTTTCATAGAATAATCTGGTCTTCTGCCTTTATCTTTGGTGTCATGTTCCATACAAATAATTTTCATTTTTAGGTCATCCAATTTTTGTCTCCTTTTTTAGCTTCTATGTTTCCAGACTGCACTAGGGAAATCTCCTTGATCCTTTGATTATGCATGTCTTCTCTTAATTTTTTTTGTAAGACTTTTTTTATTTATTTTATACTTATACTTTTAATCTGCCTGAAATTTGTTTACCTAGTACAAGACATGGGTCCAGTTTTATTTTCAGTACATAGATAGCCAATTGTACCAGTACTATTTATTAAATACTCCTTTTTTTCCACTGAATTTAACCCATCTCTGTCATATGTTAATCTCTAACATATCCTGGGATCTCATTCTGGATTCTTTATTTTGGTCCAGTGTACAATTTGTGAATTACTATACCAATACCATAATGACTCGATTACCATGACTTTGTAGTATGTTTGCAAGCCACTGGCATACCATTGTTTTCACCCGTATTTCATTGATCAAAGCAAGTCATGTGGTCCAGGTCAAGAGGTGGGACAGTACATTCCACTCACACTGAGGCCATAACAAGGATGTGGATGTAGGGAGGGTGAAGAATTAGGCCCAATTATGCAGTCTACCACAAAGAAATAGTACATTGACTGGTTCTAAAATAATATACAAAGAGTAGAGGTTTTTTATGCAAATTCAAGGAAATAAAAATAGAAATTCACCATATCCCATCCCCCACAAAGGGCATTCTATACACTCTATTGTACATCTTCTTTCACATAACAGTAGATCTTGGAGATCTTTCAGGACACAGAGCATTCTTTGTTTTTTTTTTCCCCAAGTGCATAATATTCTATTGTATGGTTAGTGTTGTATAGTACATAATGATTTATTTGTCCGGTCCCTTGTAGATGGATATCTGCTACATTTGCATTCTTGTGCAGTGATAAACATTGCTGTAATGAATCCTAAACATTGCTTGCACAGATATTTATCTGTAGAATAAATTTCCACAAGTGAGATTGCTGGGTCAAGGGATATATGCATATGTGATTTTGATATTATTGCCCATTTGTTCTTTATACGGTTG